GTGTTGTCCTGTAATTTTATTTTGATAACAGTGTACATGATTCTTGAATGATTACCCCATATCTGATTACCCAGCCGAGCCGCACTGCTTCTTGACACAATGCCTGCTTAACCCGGAAGCCAGCCGCACCTGGCGACCGTGTCAGCTTGCACTGCGCCCAGCCTGCCACAGGAGTCGCTAGTGCGCGACAGGACAAGAATATCCCTGCCGGCCAAGCCCTTGTGCACCACCCCATGGGTCTCCCGGTAAACCAGGATCTCTAGTGGCACAGCTAGCACTGCCTTAGACCACTGCGCCACTTGGGAGGCCAAATAGTGAATTTCAAGCACAGATTCAACCACAAAGACCAGGGAGGTTTTTCAATGGCTCGCAAAGAAGGGTAAAAAAACCCACTGAATATCCCTTTGAGCATATTGAAGTTATTAATTACACTTTGGATGGTGTATCATTACACCCAGTCACAACAAAGATACTGCACAGGCGTCCTTCCTAACTCAGTTGCCGGAGAGGAAGGAAACCGCTCAGGGATATCACCCCATGAGGTCAATGGTGATTTAAAAACAGTTACAGAGTTTAATGGCTGTGATAGGAGAAAACGGAGGATGGCTCAACAACATTGTAGTGACTCCACAATACTAACCTAAATGACAGAGTGAAAAGAAAGAAGCCTGTACAGAATAAACAACACTCTTCATATTTTCAAGAATGGTGGTGGCTGCATCATGGATATGCGCGTCATCGGCAATGACTGGTTCAGTCTGCTTTCCAACAGACACTGGGAGACAAATTCACATTTCAGCAGGACAATAACCTAAAACTCAAGGCCAAATATACACTGGAGTTGCTTACCAAGACTGCATTGAATGTTCCTGAGTGGCCCAGTTACAGTTTGGGTTTAAATCGGCTTGATAATCTATGGCAAGACTTGAAAATGGCTGTCTAGCAATGATCAACAACCAACTTGATAGAGCTTGAAGAGTTTAAAAAATAATAATGGGCAAACATTGTATAATCCAGGTGTGCAAAGCTCTTAGAGACTTACCCAGAAAGACTCACAGCTGTAATCGCTGCCTAAGGTGATTCTATCATGTATTGACTCAGTGGGTTGAATACTTATCAAATCAAGATATATTTAAATTTTTCATTAATCTTTTTTTGTTAATTGAATTTTTCTTCCACTTTGACATGAGTATTTTGTGTAGATCGCAAAATTGAGTCCATTTTAAATTTGGGCTGTAAAACAACAAAATGTGTAAAAAGTAAAGGGGTGTGAATACTTTCTGAAGGCACTGTACATGACAGCTTGACATACAGTATATTTGACCTATAATTGTCCCCAAAGAATTCCACATATACAGTACATATTGTACAATTCCATATAAGGGAGTAATGGTGTATTATCAAAGACAGTGTCTTTCTTCAGTTTCTCTGTTGTGTCTAAAGGGAGTTTTTGTGTTTCTCAATGTCCAATCACAGTGATTGAGTCGAGGGGAACCCAAACGGTCTTCCAGACAGGCTCCCTTGGTGTCAGGAGGCAGCTAACCTAACGTAGCAGGCGTAAAAGAAATGCCTGAATCTAGATACTGGTCTTGACGAGAAAAAAAAATAAAACTGTCTGGGGATGTTCTCTTCTGCACTGTTCAACCAACCCAGTAAATGTGGAGGAGGAGTTAAGATGGAGTGTCGCCTTGTTAACGTCCAAAATCGGAAGTCGCGTCACAGGCTCTCTTTCTATTTCCCCTGAAAACCGTAACATCCAGTTGTTGGGGACTCGGCAGACACCAGGAAGCAGCATGTCCTGCAACCAGGGACTGTGGTGAGATATCCTTTTTTCCTCCAGCTAGGGGAGCTCTTTCCCTTTCCCTCTCCCCAGAGAGTGCGTTTAGGTGTAGTGGATGGCGTCGCTACTGCCTTTCTGAGTCCTAGAAGTACTGTCACCCCAGATCCAGTGAAATGCCTTTTTCTTTTCTGGGTCAGTGGTATTAACGGTGCTTCTTGAGTATGTTGTGTTACGGTGCAGAGGGTTGTGAGTTCAAGCCCTCGTCGGGATTGATTTTCTACTTTGTTAGACAGGGTCATTTGGGGCTTGAACCCAAGGGGTTGGTACTCAAGATCATGCAGGGTTTCTGGGGGCTGATACCCAGGCTCACGTGGGTGCAGTGGGTCTTTAGACAACAGTATACTGATAGCTGGGACAGTCAACACAAGTTATGGTCTTGGTGATCCCCCTGGCCGACCCCTGGCCGACGATCACTATCCATGACTCCCTGTCCTTGCCTAAGCCCCATCAGGATTGGACCTCCATCCAAGACTCCTTTTCCCAGCATCCGACTCCCATCCTCTCCCTGCCCTCAGCCCTGTTGTCCGACCACTGTCCAAGAGTCCCTCTCCCTGCCCTCAGCCCTGTCGTCCGACCACTGTCCAAGAGTCCCTCTCCCTGCCCTCAGCCCTGTCGTCCGACCACTGTCCAAAAGTCCCTCTCCCTGCCCTCAGCCCTGTCGTCCGACCACTGTCCAAAAGTCCCTCTCCCTGCCCTCAGCCCTGTCGTCCGACCACTGTCCAAGAGACCCTCTTCCTCTCCCTGCATACGAGCCATGGCGAATCACAAGAGGTTTCTGAACTTGCTCCCCTCCTTCACTCGCATTTCAAGAATGCCTGCTGCCAGTCCAGGGATAGTACAGGGATAGTCCAGGGATAGTACAGGGATAGTCCAGGGATAGTCCAGGGATAGTACAGGGATAGTCCAGGGATAGTACAGGGATAGTACCTAGTCATTTATTACAAAGTCTCTCGAACGGGGTGTCAAAAGATCTACACAGACACCTGGCTGGAAGAACCTGAAATCGATTAGTTAAAGACAAGTTCAGAGAGGCGTTGTTTATTTCCTTCTCGCAGGTTTGGCAGCAAGATTTTATTTTACTAGGCAAGTCAGTTAAGAACAAATTCTTATTTACAATGACGGCCAACCCCGGACGATGCTGGGCCAATTGTGCGCCGCCCTATGTGACTCCCAATCACGGCCGGTTGTGATACAGCCTGGAATTGAACCAGGGGGTCTGTAGTGACGCCTCAAGCACTGAGATGCAGTGCCTTAGACCACTGCGCCACTCAGAAGCCCATAACAAGAGACATAAGATCATTTGGGTTTAGATTAGATTTTGTACCAAGGCCATTAATAATATCAACAGCTGAAATAGCCTGTGGTTAGTAGGTCTACTTTTCTCCTGAGAGAGGGCCATCTGGTTTTGGGGAAATGGCTGCCTGCACGCTGTGTTTTTGAGGGGAGCGGGATGCATGGTGAGCGGGTTGAACAACTCAGCAGTCCCCATCCTCATCACACCTCATAGCCCTCACTGCTGACTGACAAAGAAAAGGAAAGTTATTTGGCACATTATCAATTAGTGAGATGATTGTACTCAAGTTCTTTGTTTTACATGGTTAGTTGTAAGAGAACGGAAAAAAACGTAGATAGATCTTTGTCAGGACATACGAGTCTTTCATCTTTCTCTTTTCTGGTAGGATCCACACTCTTAGAAAAAAAAGGTGCTAAGTAGAACCAAACAGGGTTCTTTGGTTTGTCCCCGTAGGGGAACCCTTTTTGGTACTGGGGAGAACCCTTTGCAGAGGGTTCTATTTACAACCCTCTATGTAGGGTTCTTCAAAGTAACCCCCTGTATATGGTTCTACCTAGAACCCTCTATGAAGGGTTCTACCAAGATCCATTTGATCATCTAAAGGTTCTTCCTACAACCGTCTGTGAAGGGTTCTACCGAGAACCCTTTTATCTTTGAAGGGTTCTTCCTAGAACCCTCTATGAACGGTTCCACCAGCCTTATTATCCTTTAAAATTAAATTATTTATGACAATACATTACATATATCATAAGGCCTTTATTTGAGGGGCTAATTATACCCTAACACAGTGGTGTTAGGAAACTCCTGGTTTACAGGCTACATCAGGCCTGCAATCACATTATGCTGGCTTGCAAAGTGCTGTGTAATTCCTATTGGAATCCAGCCAGAGTTAGGAAATCCAAACAGTGGAATTGTTAATCACTGGCAACCTGCAATCAGAATGACTACCAGGGTAGGAAAGATTGAAAACTGAGACTACCTCAATAATCTAAACTCGTACAACCATCTCAGTAACAGGTGCAATAAAGCCAATTACTAACAGATTGGATTCGTTTAGAAAAACATATGTTATTTATCTTTACGTAGCATAAAATTAATCAACCAATCAATGCAAAAACACAGATATTACAGTAAAACAAACAATTCTTAAATTCTCCTTACAATAGAGCATGCTGGGAAATATTATATATGATTCTATGTAGCACCCTTCTTGCCTTCCAAAGAATCCTTCTTGGCTTCCAAAGAATCATCAAACAACCCTTCCTTCCAAAAGCGGTTCTTAGGATGTATATAGCCAACCTGCTGTTCCACTTCCTTATCCAAGAGTATGCAATACTAGCCAGAGTAGTAGAGTGACTTGACATGAAGCAGCTGCTGTGGCCCTTATATGGAAAAGGTGCAGTGTTATAATGCTGAAATTCTGCCTCACAGAATACACACACACACACACACACACACACACACACAAAGACACACACACAGACACACACACACACACACACACACACACACACACACACACACACACACACACACACACACACACACACACACACACACACACAGACACACACACAGACACACACACACACACACACACACACAACGGCTGACTACGTGTCTGTATCTCCCCTTGTAGACATGGACGACACTCCACTGTACTGTGAAATGGGACGTCAGGTACTGCACATTATCTGCTTGACAGCCTGCAGAGCATCCCCACCTTGTGGCAGAGCACTGAAATGGTTCAGTTCATAGGCTAGAGAGACTGGGTAGTGTATGGATTAAATGGTTCAGTTCATAGGCTAGAGAGACTGGGTAGTGTATGGATTAAATGGTTCAGTTCATAGGCTAGAGAGACTGGGTAGTGTATGGATTAAATGGTTCAGTTCATAGGCTAGAGAGACTGGGTCTGAGTAGTGTATGGATTAAATGGTTCAGTTCATAGGCTAGAGAGACTGGGTCTGAGTAGTGTATATGGATTTTCACTGATTTTCACTGATTTAACAAGCGACAAACTTTAATTAAAAAATTGGTCATAAGAAATTATTATAAAAGTATTGCACAAGAATAGTCACATTACTCTGATAACAAACCACTGTTTACATTTACATTTTACATTTTAGTCATTTAGCAGACGCTCTTAACCAGAGCGACTTACAGGAGCAATTAGGGTTAAGTGCCTTGCTCAAGGGCACATTAACGTCATTTAGCAGACGCTCTTAGCCAGAGCGACTCACAAATTGGTGCGTTCACCCTATAGCCAGTGGGATAACCACTTTACAATTTGGGGGGGGGGGGGGGGGGGGGGGGGGGGGGGGGGTTAGAAGGAATACTTTAGCCTATCCCAGGTATTCCTTAAAGAGGTGGGGTTTCAAATGTCTCCGGAAGGTGGTGAGTGACTCCGCTGTCCTGGCGTCGTGAGGGAGCTTGTTCCACCATTGGGGTGCCAGAGCAGCGAACAGTTTTGACTGGGCTGAGGGGGAGCTGTGCTTCCGCAGAGGAAGGGGAGCCAGCAGGCCAGAGGTGGATGAACGCAATGTCCTCGTTTGGGTGTAGGGACTGATCAGAGCCTGAAGGTACAGGGGTGCCGTTCCCCTCACTGCTCCAAAGGCAAGCACCATGGTCTTGTAGCGGATGCGAGCTTCAATTGGAAGCCAGTGGAGTGTGCGGAGGAGGGGGGTGACGTGAGAGAACTTGGGAAGGTTGAACACCAGACGGGCTGCGGCATTCTGGATGAGTTGTAGGGGTTTAATGGCACAGGCAGGGAGCCCAGCCAACAGCGAGTTGCAGTAGTCCAGACGGGAGATGACAAGTGCCTGGACCAGGACCTGCGCCGCTTCCTGTGTAAGGCAGGGTCGCACTCTCCGAATGTTGTAGAGCATGAACCTGCAGGAGCGGGTCACCGCCTTGATGTTGGCGGAGAACGACAGGGTGTTGTCCAGGGTCACGCCTAGGCTCTTCGCACTCTGGGTGGAGGACACAGCGGAGTTGTCTACCGTGATGGCGAGATCATGGAACGGGCAGTCCTTCCCGGGGAGGAAGAGCAGCTCCGTCTTGCTAGGGTTCAGCTTGAGGTGGTGATCCGTCATCCATACTGATATGTCTGCCAGACATGCAGAGATGCGATTCGCCACCTGGTGATCAGAAGGGGGAAAGGAGAAGATTAGTTGTGTATCGTCAGCGTAGCAATGATAGGAAAGGCCATGTGAGGATATGACAGAGCCAAGTGACTTGGTGTATAGGGAGAAAAGGAGAGGGCCCAAAACCGATCCCTGGGGGACACCAGTGGTGAGAGCACGTGGTGCGGAGACAGCTTCCCGCCACGCCACTTGGTAGGAGCGACCGGTCAGGTAGGACGCAATCCAGGAGTGAGCCGCGCCGGAGATGCCCATTTCGGAGAGGGTGGAGAGGAGGATCTGATGGTTCACAGTATCAAAGGCAGCAGACAGATCTAGAAGGACAAGAGCAGAGGAGAGAGAGTTAGCTTTAGCAGTGCGGAGAGTCTCTGTGACACAGAGAAGAGCAGTCTCAGTTGAATGACCAGTCCTGAAACCTGATTGGTTTGGATCAAGAAGGTCATTCTGAGAGAGATAGCAAGAGAGTTGGCTAAAGACGGCACGCTCAATAGTTTTGGAAAGAAAAGAAAGAAGGGATACTGGTCTGTAGTTGTTGACATCAGTGGGGTCGAGTGTTGGTTTTTTGAGAAGGGGAGTAACTCTCGCTCTCTTGAAGACGGAAGGGACATGGCCAGCGGTCAAGGATGAGTTGATCAGCGAGGTGAGGTAGGGGAGAAGGTCACCGGAGATGGTCTGGAGAAGGGAGGAGGGGATGGGGTCAAGCGGGCAGGTTGTTGGGCGGCCTGCAGTCACAAGTCGCAGGATCTTATCTGGAGAGAGAGGGGAGAAAGAAGTCAAAGCATAGGGTAGGGCAGTGTGAGCAGGACCAGCAGTGTCATTAGGCTTAACAAACAAGGATCGGATGTCGTCAACCTTCTTTTCAAAGTGGTTGACGAAGTCATCCACAGAGAGAGAGGAGGGGGGGAGGGGGGGGGGGAGGATTCAGGAGGGAGGAAAATGTGGCAAAGAGCTTCCTAGGGTTAGAGGCAGATGCTTGGAATTTAGAGTGGTAGAAGGTGGCCTTAGCAGCAGAAACAGATGAAGAAAATGTAGAGAGGAGGGAGTGAAAAGATGCCAGGTCGGCAGGGAATTTAGTTTTCTTCCATTTCCGCTCCGCTGCCCGGAGCTCTGTTCTGTGAGCTCGCAATGAGTCATCAAGCCACGGAGCTGGAGGGGAGGACCGAGCCGGCCGTGAGGATAGGGGACACAGAGAGTCAAAGGATGCAGAAAGGGAGGAGAGGAGGGTTGAGGAGGCAGAATCAGGAGATTGGAGGGAGAAGGATTGAGCAGAGGGAAGAGATGATAGGATGGAAGAGGAGAGAGTAGTGGGAGAGAGAGAGCGAAGGTTGCGGCGGCGCATTACCATCTGTGTAGGGGCAGAGTGAGTAGTGTGGGAGGAGAGTGAGAGAGAAAAGGAAACAAAGTAGTGGTCGGAGACTTGGAGGGGAGTTGCAGTGAGATTAGTAGAGGAGCAGCATCTAGTGAAGATGAGGTCAAGCGTATTGCCTGCCTTGTGAGTAGGGGGGGACGGTGAGAGGGTGAGGTCAAAAGAGGAGAGGAGTGGAAAGAAGGAGGCAGAGAGAAATGAGTCAAATGTGGACATAGGGAGGTTGAAATCCCCCAAAACTGTGAGGGGTGAGCCATCCTCAGGGAAGGAACTTATCAAGGCGTCAAGCTCATTGATGAACTCTCCAAGGGAACCTGGAGGGCGATAGATGACAAGGATATTAAGCTTAAATGGGCTAGTGACTGTGACAGCATGGAATTCAAATGAGGAGATAGACAGATGGGTTAGGGGAAAAATTGAGAATGTCCACTTGGGAGAGATGAGGATTCCTGTACCACCACCCCTCTGACCAGATGCTCTCGGGGTATGCGAGAACACATGGTCAGACGAGGAGAGAGCAGTAGGAGTAGCGGTGTTTTCAGTGGTGATCCATGTTTCCGTCAGCGCCAGGAAGTCGAGGGACTGGAGGTTGGCATAGGCTGGGATGAAGTCAGCTTTGTTGGCAGCAGAACGGCAGTTCCAGAGGCTGCCTGCGACCTGGAACTCCACGTGGGTGGTGCGTGCAGGGACCACCAAATTGGAGAGGCAGCAGCCACGCGGTGTGGTGCGTTTGTGTAGCCTGTGCAGAGAGGAGAGAACAGGGATAGGCAGAGGCATAGTTGACAGGCTGTAGCAAATGGCTACAAAAATGCAGAGGAGATCGGAATGAAATGGGCTAAGCATCTGGGAGTGGAGAGAGCAGGGCCTCCCTCACCAAATCTTCTAGCTCGGAAACTAAAATTGTTTCACTGAACCACCCGAACAAAAACTCTCCCAACTTCCGCCTTTGGAAATCAGAATTGTTGTGAACCACAGCGGTTCAATGTTTAAAGGAGTAGACTCAACCCACTTTGTTCAGCTAGCCAACTATGACTCCATAGCCAACTAGCAGACTAGCATCCAATAACAATAACACACCGTTTAGCGCCAACACTTGGTCACAACAAACCACCAATATTGTGATATCACACTAAACAGATCATTCGTGTCTGTGTCAAGTTCCTTATATGACGCAGCAATGATTAGACGTTGGCTAGCTAGGACAAGTTAATTGTGGTTAGCTACTACAGTACAGCCAAATGGTCATGTTGGGTAGCTAGCAATGGCCACTGTGTCGACTCTGTTTGAAGAACGGCTAGCTAGCTAGCTTCGTGCTACAGCTGGCACGGCCGAGGACACTGCCAAGACACTGTTCACTGTACTGTGATATATATTTTAAAGGCAAGTCAAACCCATTGTTTTTTTTAGAGGCAGTTGCATGATGACCAATGTGCAAAGCATAATCGTGTTATAATCATATTATAATATTAATATGAGAAAATCCCTCCCCATCTGTCACATAGAAAATCCTATTGCCTGTAATGACAATGAAATATCACATCCCCTTGGAGGTCAATAGTGATCACATCTCCACGTGAAATTGTGTGACTGCCTTTGTAAGGACACCTTTCTTGCTTACTGTGTGGAGTTCCCTATTGGTCCATGCAATATTCTGAGTCCTCCCCATTGGTCCATACAATATTCCAAGTTCCCCACTGGTTCATATGATATTCAGAGTTCCCATTGGTCCATGTGATATTCAGGGTTGGTCCATACAATGTTCCAAGTTCCCCATTGGTCCATATATGATATTCACAGTTCCCCATTGGTCCATGCAGCACAGCTCTGTGGCTCGGCTTTCTAGTAGTGTTTCAGTAGTGTTTAAAGAGTTCCCCATCCTCCCTGGGGCCATCTGTGTATCCCCAGCCAGAGCCATACTGTACATATAGCTCTGTCTCCAGTCAGCTGCATGTGTAGTGACACAGGTCCTCCTCAGCTAGGCTTAGTCCCAATCACCCGTATTATCTCCTGCTCAATCCTTATGTCCTGGGTGTTGATGTCGGCATCTCCCACCTGGCCGTTCTCATACCTGGAGAGGAGAATGATTATCAGGCAGAGACACAGAGAGAGACAGAGAGAGAGACAGAGAGAGAGACAGAGAGAGAGAGAGAGAGAGAGAGAGAGAGAGAGCGAGAGAGGTGATTGAAAGGTCAGTGAAAGATGATTTTGTTTTCGTGTTTAGTTTACTGATGCTCCATACTCACACAAAGAAGAATCGCGTACAGACGTGGTCGGATATTGGACACACCCATGTGTCCCCATGTTTCTGAAGGTCCTTTGATGTTATCACTGAGGAAACAATAATCTATCAGTCAATTGAATGCTTTATACATTATATAGACCAACCAAATAAGCTTCTGCTACAAATGCAGGACAGTCATGTCTGTTTATCTTGATATCATAATGATAAGATGTTTTCTTTACCTTCACAAAGTGCGATGCAGTTTAAATTCCTGCTCTGAAGAAACCTTGACTGGCCCGGTCTTTCCTGAAAAGACAAAGAGTTACTGTAAAAAAAACACATTCAATAACTTGGAACAAAATAATTTCTTTACCTAGATGTGCCTGTATGTAATTCTGTTACGGTGGTGCGTTTTGCTGTACAGTATGTAAATGTCTTCAGGTGGAGAAAAAAAAGTACCTGTTGTGTGGTATTGATGCGGTTGTAACGTTTGACCAGCTCCTGTTTGGTGGTGATGTGGTGCTGTCCTTTACCTATCCCTGAGTATCCATATGAGATGCTAGAGACAGGACTCAGGTAGATACCCTTCCCATACACAGCACCATGTAGCTTGTAGAGGACATTTGAGCAAAGGGTGAACTGAAGGTAACCATTTTTATCAGAGTTGATGAAAAATAGCTTTAAAAACGTTTTAAAAGACTACCATATCAGATAGACAGGAGATCTAAAATTGTTGTCCCTTGGTACAATTATCTAAGATTTAAAAAAATAAAAAATGAATGAATGCATTTGTTATTTTGAGTATTACATACCTGCAGTTTTGTGCATGAGGCGTTGACAAGTCCATTTCTCAGAATAGAGTGCCAGTTCTCTATGTGGGAACCACTGGAGAAACAGAATGGCAGAGATGTTCGAGTGACTATAGAATGGTGGGTGTGTGTGTGTGCGTGTGTGTGTGTGTGTGTGTGTGTGTGTGTGTGTGTGTGTGTGTGTGTGTGTGTGTGTGTGTGTGTGTGTGTGTGTGTGTGTGTGTGTGTGTGTGTGTGTGTGTGTATGTGTGCGTGTGTGTGCGTGTGTGCAAGTGTGTGTGTGAGTGAGTGAGTGAGACTTACTGGAAGGCGAAGGTGCTGCCATATAGTTTCCTAGCGGCCCGGAAGCGAGCTTCTTTGGCAGGAGGGCTGCTGGTCAACAGGAACTGATGTGGAGTGTGCATGAACTTCAGTTGCTGTATAGGAGGCGGAAAACAAAGATAATGAGGGAAAGAAAGATGTATAAGAGAATGTCCAGTATCATGTATAAGAGAATGTCCAGTATCATTCATAAGAGAATGTCCAGTATCATGTATTAGAGAATGTCCAGTATCATGTATAAGAGAATGTCCAGTATCATGTATTAGAGAATGTCCAGTATCATTCATAAGAGAATGTCCAGTATCATGTATAAGAGAATGTCCAGTATCATTTATAAGAGAATGTCCAGTATCATGTATAAGAGAATGTCCAGTATCATTTATAAGAGAATGTCCAGTATCATTTATAAGAGAATGTCCAGTATCATTTATAAGAGAATGTCCAGTATCATGTATAAAAGAATGTCCAGTATCATGTATAAGAGAATGTCCAGTATCATGTATAAGAGAATGTCCAGTATCATGTATAAGAGAATGTCCAGTATCATGTATAAGAGAATGTCCAGTATCATTTATAAGAGAATGTCCAGTATCATTTATAAGAGAATGTCCAGTATCATTTATAAGAGAATGTCCAGTATCATTTATAAGAGAATGTCCAGTATCATGTATAAGAGAATGTCCAGTATCATGTATAAGGCTGAAGTTGGACATGTGGTCGACACTTTGGGCAGAGCAAAACGTGATTGGGGTACATTCACTGGGGACGGGGGGGACACGTCTCCCCCCTCATTCTGATATTGCATTTGTGCCCCCCCCACCCAGTTTTATCATTGGAATGTGATACAAAACGAGGCGAGGTGAGTTTTAGGACCATGCGGACACCTCCGAGCGGTCGGGTAGGTTATTTGGAGTATTTATCAGAATGGATAAAAATAAAAATAAAAAGTTATGTCCCCCCCACTTCTAAAACCAAAGTTGCGCCCCTGGGTACAGTTACCCCCAAAAAGTTGAGAACCACCGATTACAAAAAAAGGCACTGACAGCTGTTTTTTTTAACACTGTCGTCCACATATATTCAGGTGCTACCTCCAGAAAGTGAATGAACAGCGGTATTGTCCCAGCTTACCCTGTTCAGCGGTAGCTTGACAATATGTGATCTGTTGCTTGATATGATCCATTGCAGTAAAGGGTGAGCAAGAGGATCTATTGTGTCCATCTGTTTCTTGATTGATGAATACGGACCCTGAAAGTTCATGATCATTTCAGTAAGTGAATAAGTGAGTAAATGAAGAGAGATTTTCAATGAATGAATGAATGATGAATGAATTAAATTAATGTATGATTCATTGGTTATGTTTAGTCACCTGCGTCATCTCCCTGATGGTCATGATGCTGTCCAGAGCCTTCTGCAGTCGATCGTAGCTCTTCCTCTGTGACAAAAGGAAACATGTTATACAGGTTAGTTTCAGTAAAAAAGAAGACCTGCAAGAGATACTTTTACTGGCCAGACATTCGGTGCATACTGTAAAGATCTCACACCACTGACTAAAGTCTGCTTTATCAGCCAGGTCTCACACCACTGACTGAAGTCTGCTTTATCAGCCAGGTCTCACACCACGGACTAAAGTCTGCTTTATCAGCCAGGTCTCACACCACTGACTGAAGTCTGCTTTATCAGCCAGGTCTCACACCACTGACTAAAGTCTGCTTTATCAGCCAGGTCTCACACCACTGACTAAAGTCTGCTTTATCAGCCAGGTCTCACACCACTGACTAAAGTCTGCTTTATCAGCCAGGTCTCACACCACTGACTAAAGTCTGCTTTATCAGCCAGGCCATGACATAATGCAGTGAGTGGATGAGTTAATGTGGCCTTAATAGCGTGCTAGTCCATTACCCTGGGACTGAAGGCCAGAGACTTGGTGTTGTATGGGTCGACCACAGAGGGGTATGGCTCCAAGATGATGCTCTTCCTGGAGGACTCCAGAGCCGCCCTGCACATGGCCACCAACAAGTCCACTACCTGGAGGTCAGAACCAACTTAGTTAGTTATTATCACTTATGTGTGTGTGTGTGTGTGTGTGTGTGTATGTCTGTGTGTGAATGTGTGTGTGTGTGCGTGTGTGAGAATGTGTCCATGCGTGCGTGTGGATGTGCCTTTTATTGTCTATGGTGTGTGTCTGTGTCTGCATGTCTCTGTGTGTGTGTGTGTATGTGTGTGTGTGTGTGTGTGTGTGTATGTGTGTGTGTGTGTGTGTGTATGTGTGTGTGGTGTGTGTGTGTGTGTGTTGTATGTGGTGTGTTGTGTGTGTGTGTGTGTGTGTGTGTGTGTGTGTCTGTGTGTGTGTGTGTGTGTGTATGGTCTGTTGTGTGTGTGTGTGTGTGTGTGTGTGGGTGTGTTGTGTTGTTGTGTGTATGTGTGTGTGTGTGTGTGTGTTGTGTGTGTATGCGTGTCTGTGTGTGGAGTATGTGTGAGTGTGTGTTGTGTGTGTATGCGTGTCTGTGTGTATGCGTGTTGTGTGTGTGTGTCTGTGTGTGTGTGTCTGTGTGTGTATGCGTGTCTGTGTGTGTGTGTGTGTCTGTGTGTGTGTGTGTCTGTGTGTGTGTGTGTGTGTGTGTGTGTGTGTATGCGTGTCTGTGTGTGTATGCGTGTCTGTGTGTGTGTGTGTGTCTGTGTGTGTCTGTGTGTCTGTGTGTGTGTGTGTGGTGTGTGTGTGTGTGTGTGTGTGTGTGTGTGTCTGTGTGTGTCTGTGTGTCTGCGTGTGTCTGTGTGTGTCTGTCTGTGTGTGTGTGTGTCTGTCTGTGTGTTCTGTGTGTTCTGTGTGTTCTGTGTGTGTGTGTGTGTGAGAGAGTATTTGCTACCTCTGCTCCATTAGACACCTCCTCCACAGCTCCTGCCATCACTCCCAAGGTGTAGAAAGAAAACACACACAGTTCCCTGCTACACACGGCAGGCTGTAAACACACAGAGAAAAAACAACTATTATCCTAACTACTATATACAGTGGGGGAAAAAAGTATTTAGTCAGCCACCAATTGTGCAAGTTCTCCCACTTAAAAAGATGAGAGATGTCACGATCGTCGGTGAGAGAGGACCAAGGCGCAGCGTTGAAGGTGAACATATCCTTTATTTTACTGATCACACGATCAAAACAATAAACGATAACGTGACGTCTACGGTTTAACACAAACCGAAATGAACAAGAAACCACAACACAAAGTGAAAAGACCGATAGTTAAATATGGCTCCCAATCAGAGACAACCAGCTGACACTCGTTGCCTCTGATTGGGAGTCACTCAGACCAACATAGAAAATCAAACATAGAATACACACCCTGGCTCAACATAACATTGTCCCCAGAGCCAGGGCGTGACAGTACCCCCCCCTAAAGGCGCGGACTCCGACCGCACCAACTAAATCCCACAGGGGAGGGACCGGGTGGGCACTCCGCCTAGGCGGCGGATCCGGCTCCGGACATGACCCAGGCACGGGTTGTGCTGGACTGACGACGCACACCCCTGGCTTGATGCGTGGAGGAGGAACGGGCCGGACCGGGCTGACGAAGCGCACCCCTGACTTGGTGCGGGGAGCAGGAACGGGCCGGACCGGGCTGACGAAGCGCACCCCTGACTTGGTGCGGGGAGCAGGAATGAGCCGGACCGGGCTGACGATGCGCACCACTGACCTGGTGCGGGGAGCTTGGATGGGCCGGACTGGGCTGACGACGCGCACCACTGACCTGGTGCGGGGAGCTTGGATGGGCCGGACTGGGCTGACGACGCGCACCACTGACCTGGTGCGGGGAGCTTGGATGGGCCGGACTGGGCTGACGACGCGCACCACTGACCTGGTGCGGGGAGCAGGAACGGGCCGTGCCGGACTGACGACGCGCACCACTGACCTGGTGCGGGGAGCTTGGATGGGCCGGACCGTACTGGGGACACACACCACTGGCCCTACACCGGGATCTGGAACGGGCCGGACCGGACTGGCAACACACGCCAGTACCTCTCGCCGTGCCTCTACATCGTCCATCCCCTCTTCGACCAGTGGCCCCCGTAACCTGGCGGCCTCCTCTGGCAACCCACTGGGCCGCTCTATCGCGGCCTCCTGCTGGTCCGATGTCGTGAGCCCCCCCCCTAAAAATTTTCTGGGGGTCTCTCCTCCCCGTGGGCCAGGCCTCCATCGTTCTCGCCAGACTCTCACCCCACTGCTCCAAAGTCCAACCTCTCTCCTCTTCTCTTGGCTTGGCCCAGTCGAGACTCATACTCAACTGCTCCCAAGTCCATCCTCTCTCTTCTTCATGCTGCTTGGTCCTGTTATGGTGGTTTCTTCTGTCACGATCGTCGGTGAGAGAGGACCAAGGCGCAGCGTTGAAGGTGAACATATCCTTTATTTTACTGATCACACGATCAAAACAATAAACGATAACGTGACGTCTACGGTTTAACACAAACCGAAATGAACAAGAAACCACAACACAAAGTGAAAAGACCGATAGTTAAATATGGCTCCCAATCAGAGACAACCAGCTGACACTCGTTGCCTCTGATTGGGAGTCACTAAGCCCAACATAGAAAATCAAACATAGAATACACACCCTGGCTCAACATAACATTGTCCCCAGAGCCAGGGCGTGACAAGAGAGGCCTGTAATTTTCATCATAGGTACACGTCAACTATGACAGACAAAATGAGAAAAAAAAATCCAGAAAATCACATTGTAGGATTTTTAATGAATTTATTTGCAAATTATGGTGGAAAATAAGTATTTGGTCAATAACAAAAGTTTCTCAATACTTTGTTATATACCCTTTGTTGGCAATGACATAGGTCAAACGTTTTCTGTAAGTCTTCACAAGGTTTTCACACACTGTTGCTGGTATTTTGGCCCATTCCTCCATGCAGATCTCCTCTAGAGCAGTGATGTTTTGGGGCTGTCGCTGCGCAACACGGACTTTCAACTCCCTCCAAACATTTTCTATGGGGTTGAGATCTGGAGACTGGCTAGGCCATTCCAGGACCTTGAAATGCTTCTTACGAAGCCACTCCTTCGTTGCCCGGGCGGTGTGTTTGGGATCATTGTCATGCTGAAAGACCCAGCCACGTTTCATCTTCAATGCCCTTGCTGATGGAAGGAGGTTTTCACTCAAAATCTCACGATACATGGCCCCATTCATTCTTTCCTTTACACGGATCAGTCGTCCTGGTCCCTTTGCAGAAAAACAGCCCCAAAGCATGATGTTTCCACCCCCATGCTTCACAGTAGGTATGGTGTTCTTTGGATGCAACTCAGCATTCTTTGTCCTCCAAACACGACAAGTTGAGTTTTTACCAAAAAGTTATATTTTGGTTTCATCTGACCATATGACATTCTCCCAATCCTCTTCTGGATCATCCAAATGCACTCTAGCAAATTTCAGACGGGCCTGGACATGTACTGGCTTAAGCAGGGGGACACGTCTGGCACTGCAGGATTTGAGTCCCTGGCGGCGTAGTGTGTTACTGATGGTAGGCTTTGTTACTTTGGTCCCAGCTCTCTGCTGGTCATTCACTAGGTCCCCCCGTGTGGTTCTGGGATTTTTGCTCACCGTTCTTGTGATCATTTTGACCCCACGGGGTGAGATCTTGCGTGGAGCCCCAGATCGAGGGAGATTATCAGTGGTCTTGTATGTCTTCCATTTCCTAATAATTGCTCCCACAGTTGATTTCTTCAAACCATGCTGCTTACCTATTGCAGATTCAGTCTTCCCAGCCTGGTGCAGGTCTACAATTTTGTTTCTGGTGTCCTTTGACAGCTCTTTGGTCTTGGCCATAGTGGAGTTTGGAGTGTGACTGTTTGAGGTTGTGGACAGGTGTCTTTTATACTGATAACAAGTTCAAACAGGTGCCATTAATACAGGTAACGAGTGGAGGACAGAGGAGCCTCTTAAAGAAGAAGTTACAGGTCTGTGAGAGCCAGAAATCTTGCTTGTTTGTAGGTGACCAAATACTTATTTTCCACCATAATTTGCAAATAAATTCATTAAAAATCCTACAATGTGATTTTCTGGATTTTTTTTCCTCAATTTGTCTGTCATAGTTGACGTGTACCTATGATGAAAATTACAGGCCTCTCTCATCTTTTTAAGTGGGAGAACTTGCACAATTGGTGGCTGACTAAATACTTTTTTCCCCCACTGTATCTGTACTAAAGCCATCCAGTTAATATAATATTTGATAACACTTTACTTATATGCGGCATGTATAACGCCTCATTATGTAGTTGTAATAAGCATGTATGGTATGGTCCCCTAATAATAATAAATAAATAACAGCCATTTTAAGCCATTTTATGGAGTATACCTTCAACATAGAGCCGTACTGAAAGACGTGTCGCTCGTCACAGACCACACAGTATTCATTCAGAGTGGGGATCCTCTGTTCTGCGTACTTCATTACCTACAACACACAGAGAAAGGACTCAGTCAGTGTAATGTAGTATTGCCATAGCAGATGAGAAAATAAGAATATAACCGTTACTGTAGTTATATCCCTGCCTCAGTCAACAGATCTGAAAATAGCCTTGCCTCAAGCCGTTCAAGGTTTTGTTCTGCTGTCTGGCAACATGAGATTAACCTGGATACTGTATAAGACCTCTCAACAAAGTTTCAACAAGAGCCCAGTACATCAATCACTCACTCATTCACTAAGTTTGCTGACAGTCAAGGAAGAATCTAATTGCATATATGTCAGTAAGGGCAAAGTTATTAGGCTTTACCTGTACTAAGAAACCATGTTGCAGGGTGGGGACTGACTTGCAGTGAATAAAGGCTTGGGATGAGAACAGCACCTCAACCAGCTGTTTAGTTGTGATGTGAGCCGGAGACCTGGCAGCAGACACCAACACCCTCTGAGGAGAGAAGAGAGGACAAAACATGATGTCACATGGATGGAAAACAAAACAAGAGAAAATAACGTTAACACTGAAGATGGCTAATTTGAATGAGCAAATGCGCAACAATTTCAAGCATTTTAGTAACCATATGTGGCATTATCCTGGTCCTGGATTTATTTGTGTTTTGTTGCCACAGCGACCATAGGAGTACAGAAACCAGGCTAATATGGCATTAATTAGACCTGCACTCTTTGAAAAAAAGGTGCTATCTAGACCCTAAAAGCATTCTTTGGCTGTCCCCATAGGAGAACCCTTTGGATAAACCTTTTTGGTTCCAGAACGCTTTTGGTTCCAGGTAGAACCCTTTTGGGTTCCATGTAGAACCCTTTCCACAGAGGGTTCTACATGGAAATGAAAAGGGTCCTACCTGGAACCAAAAAGGGCTATCCAAAGGGTTCTCCTATGGGGACAGCTGAGTGTGTGTGTGGCTTACAGTAACTAGGTCGGTAGCTAGGTAGTTGAGTATAGCTGAGGATAGGTCCTGGCCATACTAGGTAGGTAGTTGAGTATAGTTTATAGCTGAGGATAGGTCCTGGCCATACTAGGTAGGTAGTTGAGTATAGTTGAGTATAGCTGAGGATAGGTCCTGGCCATACTAGGTAGGTAGTTGAGTATAGTTGAGGTTAGCTGAGGATAGGTCCTGGCCATACTAGGTAGGTAGTTGAGTATAGTTGAGGTTAGCTGAGGATAGGTCCTGGCCATACTAGGTAGGTAGTTGAGTATAGTTGAGGTTAGCTGAGGATAGGTCCTGGCCATACTAGGTAGGTAGTTGAGTATAGTTGAGGTTAGCTGAGGATAGGTCCTGGCCATACTAGGTAGGTAGTTGAGTATAGTTGAGGTTAGCTGAGGATAGGTCCTGGCCATACTAGGTAGGTAGTTGAGTATAGTTGAGGTTAGCTGAGGATAGGTCCTGGCCATACTAGGTAGGTAGTTGAGTATAGCTGAGGATAGGTCCTGGCCATACCTTGCCATTAGTTGTGTAAGTGTGGAGTTCTCCTCTGGGGTTCTTGATGGTGTAAGCCATTGTCCGATTCATAAGGAGATTCACTTTCAGCTCCGGTCCAATCATCTTCACCTTCAGAACATGCTCCTGGCCACTGGACCTGGGTCACACAGGGAGGGAGCAGAGATTATGATGACACTGAGAACGAAAGATCCATGAAACTACAAGGCTATGCAGAAACAACCCCTAGACCTAACACTAGCCACTCCTATATATCTGAATTGATGCCATATTGCTTAAACTTATTCAGAATACACCACTAGGCTAAAGATACAGAAGTCGACTAAGACTGAGTGTGCACTGTAGTAGTGTACTTGGACATGGGTGACAGGATGCCGAGTCCAGCCCTGAACCTCTTGATGGTTCCTCCAGGTTTGAACCAAGTGTGTCTGATCTTCTGTTGGGCAGTGAGGGTTTCATTACTCAGGTACTTCCACTGCTGGGACGCAAAGCTAGAGAGGACCCTGGGAGAGAGGAGGAGAGAGAGGTCATCACTCACCTCCATTGCTTTTGCTTTTTGTTCTGTCCACTCCATTGCCTCCATTGAGTTCTCTTTTCACATTCTGAGTAGTTCTAATAGTAAAACGTATTGTAGCAGAGGTGATTTGAAATCACACTCTGGTGATGAGGGGGTAGCCCTGCCTAAATGTTCCCTTGGGCCATGACAATGGTCCTTCCAGACAGATATAATAGTATATATAATAGTGTAGTTATAATGCTTTCCAGTGAATGCTTTGAGGAGAAAATGCAGCTTCTACTGTGTTGGTGAGATATAGACTAAACTAGACTAGACTAATCTAAACTAGACTAGACTAGAATAGAATAGAATAGACTAGACTAGACTGGAATAGACTAGAATAGACTAGAATAGACTAGAATAGAACAGAATAGAATAGACTAGAATAGACTAGAATAGAATAGAATAGACTAGAATAGACTAGAATAGAATAGAATAGTTATAGAATAGACTAGAATAGACTAGAATAGAATAGAATAGAATAGACTAGACTAGACTAGAATAGAATAAGATAGACTAGACTGGAATAGACTAGAATAGACTAGAATAGACTAGACTAGAATAGAATAGAATAGAACTCTAGGTCTATAGTGAGAGGGGAGTCTTAGCATGCTCACTTCTGCAGCTGTAGTCCCAGGCTGAACCCTTCTCTGTTAGAAGGTTGGAACACCTCCACAGAGGGTGCTGGCCCATTCATGTATTGGGACAGAGAGAAGCGCAGCCGGACGATAATAGGCTCTGTTGGGATGATCTTCCAGGCCCTGGCTACTTCATCCTGGAGACAAGACAACAAACAGTGTCAGAAACATGGGAAGATCCTCAGGGGCATCATATACAACATGGGAAGATCCCAAGGGGCATCACGTACAACATGGGAAGATCATCAGGGGCATCATATACAACATGGGAAGATCCTCAGGGGCATCATATACAACATGGGAAGATCCTCAGGGGCATCATATACAACATGGGAAGATCCCAAGGGGCATCACGTACAACATGGGAAGATCATCAGGGGCATCATATACAACATGGAAAAATCCTCAGGGGCATCATATACAACATGGGAAGATCCTCAGGGGCATCATATACAACATGGGAAGATCCTCAGGGGCATCATATACAACATGGGAAGATCCCAAGGGGCATCACGTACAACATGGGAAGATCATCAGGGGCATCATATACAACATGGAAAAATCCTCAGGGGCATCATATACAACATGGGAAAATCCTCAGGGGCATCATATACAACTTAAAATATATACTTGTATGTGATACATATCATGATGATGGTGGATAGTGTAGTCGACTCACATCCAGGAAGCTGACATTGATTAGCATGTCAACATCCACATCGTCAATGGAGCCATACTCTCTGGAGAGGAGGAAGGAGAGAGAGAGAAGGTCAGGAGTCATTTACATTCCAGTCATTTAGCAGACGTTCTTATCCAGACATCCATGTATTTTTGTACTCTTTCGTACTTTTCCGTACGTGTTAAATGATAACAAGCATTTCACTGAGAGCAGATGCCTTCCCATTGTACCCCTTTAATTAAAACCACATCCTACTATCTCTGTCAATAAGTTAAGCAAAGCAAGGTTACTAGGTAACTGGTTGTACCTGACGGAGACAGCCGTGTCAGTGTAGATGGCCTTCACTGAATCTATATCCATGTCCAGCTGAGGATGTCTGTAGAGGTCAGTAGAACAGCCCTCCTACAGAGAGAGAAAACAACACATTTACCTCAAAGATGTAAACAGTACTAGACACAATAGCTTCAAGAATAACAGAGAGAGAGAGAGACAACACAGAGTAAAACAGAGAGTACAACAGAGAGTACAACACAGAGGACAACAGAGAGTACAACAGAGAGTACAACAGGGAGTACAACAGAGAGTACAACACAGAGGACAACAGACAACAGAGAATACAACAGATAGTACAACAGAGAGTACAACAGAGAGTACAACAGACAACAGAGAGTACAACAGAGAATATAAAACAGAGTACAACAGATAATACAACAGAGAGTACAACAAAGAGTACAACAGAGAGTACAACAGACAACAGAGAGTAAAACAGAGAGTACAACAGAGAGCACAACAGAGGGTACAGCAGAGAATACAACAGAGAGTACAACAAAGAGTACAACAGAGAGTACAACAGACAACAGAGAGTAAAACTGAGAGTACAACAGACAACAGGGAGTACAACAGAGAGTACAACAAACAATAGAGAGTACAACAGACAACAGAGAGTACAACAGAGAGTACAACAGACAACAGAGAGTACAACAGAGAGTACAACAGAGAGTACAACAGAGAGTACAACAGAGAGTGCAACAGACAACAGGGAGTACAACAGACAACAGAGAGTATAACAGAGTACAGCAGAGAGTACAACAAACAATAGAGAGTACAACAGACAACAGAGAGTACAACAGAGAGTACAACAGACAACAGAGAGTACAACAGGGAGTACAACAGAGGGTAAAACAGAGAGTACAACAGAGAGTACAACAGAGAGTACAACAGACAACAGAGAGTACAACAGACAACAGAGAGTACAACAGAGAGTACAACAGACAACAGAGAGTACAACAGAGAGTACAACAGAGAGTACAACAGAGAGTACAACAGAGAGTGCAACAGACAACAGGGAGTACAACAGACAACAGAGAGTATAACAGAGTACAGCAGAGAGTACAACAGACAACAGAAAGTACAACAGGGAGTACAACAGACAACAGAGAGTACAACAGAGTACAGCAGAGAGTACAACAGACAACAGAGAGTACAACAGGGAGTACAACAGACAACAGAGAGTACAACAGAGTACAGCAGAGAGTACAACAGACAACAGAGAGTACAACAGGGAGTACAACAGAGAATACAACAGAGAGTACAACAGACAACAGAGAGTACAACAGAGAGTACAACAGAGAGTACAACAGACAACAGAGAGTACAACAGACAACAGAGAGTACAACAGAGAGTACAACAGACAACAGAGACTACAACAGGGAGTACAACAGACAACAGAGAGTACAACAGAGAGTACAACAGAGAGTACAACAGACAACAGAGAGTACAACAGACAACAGAGAGTACAACAGAGAGTACAACAGACAACAGAGACTACAACAAAGAGTACAACAGAGAGTACAACATACAACAGAGAGTACAACAGGGAGTACAACAGACAACAGAGAGTACAACAGAGTACAGCAGAGAGTACAACATACAACAGAGAGTACAACAGAGAGTACAACAGACAACAGAGAGTACAACAGGGAGTACAACAGAGAGTACAACAGAGAGTACAACAGAGAGTACAACAGACAACAGAGAGTACAACAGAGAGTACAACAGCGAGTACAACAGACAACAGAGACTACAACAGGGAGTACAACAGAGAGTACAACAGAGAGTACAACATACAACAGAGAGTACAACAGGGAGTACAACAGACAACAGAGAGTACCACAGAGTACAGCAGAGAGTACAACAGAGAGAACAAAAGACAACAGAGAGTACAACAGGGAGTACAACAGGGAGTACAACAGAGAGTACAACAGAGAGTACAACAGCGAGTACAACAGACAACAGAGACTACAACAGGGAGTACAACAGAGAGTACAACAGAGAGTACAACATACAACAGAGAGTACAACAGGGAGTACAACAGACAACAGAGAGTACAACAGAGTACAGCAGAGAGTACAACAGACAACAGAGAGTACAACAGACAACAGAGAGTACAACAGAGAGTACAACAGAGAGTAAAACAGAGAGTACAACAGAGATTACAACAGAGAGTACAACAGACAACAGAGAGTACCACAGAGTACAGCAGAGAGTACAACAGACAACAGAGAGTACAACAGACAACAGAGAGTAGAACAAAGAGTACAACAGAGAGTACAACAGAGAGTACAACAGACAACAGAGAGTACAACAGACAACAGAGAGTACAACAGAGAGTACAACAGACAACAGAGAGTACAACAGAGTACAGCAGAGAGTACAACAGACAACAGAGAGTACAACAGGGAGTCCAACAGAGAGTACAACAGAGAGTACAACAGACAACAGAGAGTACCACAGAGTACAGCAGAGAGTACAACAGAGAGTCCAACAGAGAGTACAACAGAGAGTACAACAGAGAGTACAACAGAGAGTACAACAGAGAGTACAGCAGAGAGTACAACAGAGTAGAACAGACAACAGAGTAGAACAGACAACAGAGATTACAACAGAGAGTACAACAGAGAGTACAACAGAGAGTACAACAGAGAGAACAAAAGACAACAGAGAGTACAACAGAGAGTACAACAGACAACAGAGAGTACAACAGGGAGTACAACAGAGATTACAACAGAGAGTACAACAGAAAACAGAGAGTACAACAGAAAACAGAGAGTACAACAGAGTACAGCAGAGAGTACAACAGACAACAGAGAGTACAACAGGGAGTCCAACAGAGAGTACAACAGAGAGTACAACAGACAACAGAGAGTACCACAGAGAGTACAACAGAGAGTACAACAGAGAGTACAACAGGGAGTACAACAGACAACAGAGACTACAACAGGGAGTACAACAGACAACAGAGAGTACAACAGAGAGTACAACAGCGAGTACAACAGACAACAGAGACTACAACAGGGAGTACAACAGAGAGTACAACAGAGAGTACAACATACAACAGAGAGTACAACAGGGAGTACAACAGACAACAGAGAGTACCACAGAGTACAGCAGAGAGTACAACAGAGAGAACAAAAGACAACAGAGAGTACAACAGGGAGTACAACAGGGAGTACAACAGAGAGTACAACAGAGAGTACAACAGCGAGTACAACAGACAACAGAGACTACAACAGGGAGTACAACAGAGAGTACAACAGAGAGTACAACATACAACAGAGAGTACAACAGACAACAGAGAGTACAACAGAGTACAGCAGAGAGTACAACAGACAACAGAGAGTACAACAGACAACAGAGAGTACAACAGAGAGTACAACAGACAACAGAGAGTACAACAGGGAGTACAACAGAGATTACAACAGAGAGTACAACAGACAACAGAGAGTACCACAAAGTACAGCAGAGAGTACAACAGACAACAGAGAGTACAACAGACAACAGAGAGTAGAACAAAGAGTACAACAGAGAGTACAACAGAGAGTACAACAGACAACAGAGAGTACAACAGACAACAGAGAGTACAACAGAGAGTACAACAGACAACAGAGAGTACAACAGAGTACAGCAGAGAGTACAACAGACAACAGAGAGTACAACAGGGAGTCCAACAGAGAGTACAACAGAGAGTACAACAGACAACAGAGAGTACCACAGAGTACAGCAGAGAGTACAACAGAGAGTCCAACAGAGAGTACAACAGAGAGTACAACAGAGAGTACAACAGAGAATACAACAGAGAGTACAGCAGAGAGTACAACAGAGTAGAACAGACAACAGAGTAGAACAGACAACAGAGATTACAACAGAGAGTACAACAGAGAGTACAACAGAGAGTACAACAGAGAGAACAAAAGACAACATAGAGTACAACAGAGAGTACAACAGAGATTACAACAGAGAGTACAACAGAAAACAGAGAGTACCACAGAGAGTACAGCAGAGAGTACAACAGACAACAGAGAGTACAACAAAGAGTACAACAGAGAGTACAACAGAGAGTACAACAGACAACAGGGAGTACAACAGACAACAGAGAGTACAACAGAGAGTACAACAGAGAGTACAACAGACAACAGAGAGTACAACAGAGAGTACAACAGACAACAGAGAGTACAACAGACAACAGAGAGTACAACAGAGAGTACAACAGACAACAGAGAGTACAACAGAGTACAGCAGAGAGTACAACAGGGAGTCCAACAGAGAGAACAAAAGACAACAGAGAGTACAACAGGGAGTACAACAGAGAGTACAACAGAGAGTACAACAGACAACAGAGTAGAACAGACAACAGAGAGTACAACAGAGAGTACAACAGGGAGTACAACAGAGAGTACAACAGAGAGTACAACAGAAAACAGAGAGTACCACAGAGTACAGCAGAGAGTACAACAGACAACAGAGAGTACAACAAAGAGTACAACAGAGAGTACAACAGAGAGTACAACAGACAACAGGGAGTACAACAGACAACAGAGAGTACAACAGAGAGTACAACAGAGAGTACAACAGACAACAGAGAGTACAACAGAGAGTACAACAGAGAGTACAACAGACAACAGAGAGTACAACATACAACAGAGAGTACAACAGGGAGTACAACAGACAACAGAGAGTACAACAGAGTACAGCAGAGAGTACAACAGACAACAGAGAGTACAACAGAGAGTACAACAGAGAGTACAACAGAGAGTACAACAGACAACAGAGAGTACCACAGAGTACAGCAGAGAGTACAACAGAGAGAACAAAAGACAACAGAGAGTACAACAGGGAGTACAACAGAGAGTACAACAGAGAGTACAACAGAGAGTACAACAGACAACAGAGTAGAACAGACAACAGAGTAGAACAGACAACAGAGAGTACAACAGGGAGTACAACAGCGAGTACAACAGAGAGTACAACAGAGAGTACAACAGACAACCGAGAGTACAACAGAGAGTACAACAGAGAGTACAACAGACAACAGAGAGTACAACAGAGAGTACAACAGAGAGTACAACAGACAACAGAGAGTACAACAGAGTACAGCAGAGATTACAACAGAGAGTACAACAGACAACAGAGAGTACCACAGAGTAAAGCAGAGAGTACAACAGACAACAGAGATTACAACAAAGAGTACAACAGAGAGTACAACAGAGAGTACAACAGACAACAGAGAGTACAACAGAGAGTACAACAGAGAGTACAACAGACAACAGAGAGTACAACAGAGAGTACAACAGAGAGTACAACAGACAACAGAGAGTACAACAGAGAGTACAACAGACAACAGAGAGTACAACAGAGAGTACAACAGGGAGTACAACAGAGAGTACAACAGAGAGTACAACAGACAACAGAGAGTACAACAGAGAGTACAACAGAGAGTACAACAGACAACAGGGAGTACAACAGAGAGAACAACAGACAACAGAGAGTACAACAGAGAGTACAACAGGGAGTACACAAAATGGCACTAATGCGTTACAGACCATTGGAAGTTATGATCAGACTTTTCATGGGGTCAGTGCTCTATTGTGTGGAGTTCGGCCTCCACTAACAAAGCAACTAAGCACTCTCATCGTGTTTCCTTTACTAGCACTGATTTTGCACATATTTGGAAGAAGATTTAGCTTGTAAGGATTATGATATGTGGTTATTTTAATTACTGTAGCTGAATGCACTTATCGTGAGTGTCTGCTAAATGACTAAAATGTGAATGTATTCAGAGGAGAGCTAAGGGGCTCTCTCATTGCTCCTCTTTATGTGGTGTGAGGAGTGTTGCTGTGGTGTTACTCTGAGTTGAGTTAAGGGGCTGTACTGCAGGATCAGCTGGCTCGTGGAGCTGTGGCCATATGTTAGCCTTGCTCTCTGTGAACCATTCCTAATCCCCACACAGTGTGAGCCACAACCCATAGATAGAACCATTCCTAATCCCCACACAGTGTGAGCCACAACCCATAGATAGAACCATTCCTAATCCCCACACAGTGTGAGCCACAACCCATAGATAGAACCATTCCTAATCCCCACACAGTGTGAGCCACAACCCATAGATAGAACCATTCCTAATCCCCACACAGTGTGAGCCACAACCCATAGATAGAACCATGCCTAATCCCCACACAGTGTGAGCCACAACCCATAGATAGAACCATTGCTAATCCCAACACAGTGTGAGCAACAACCCATAGATAGAACCATTCCTAATCCCCACACAGTGTGAGCCACAACCCATAGATAGAACCATGCCTAATCCCCACACAGTGTGAGCCACAACCCATAGATAGAACCATTGCTAATCCCAACACAGTGTGAGCCACAACCCATAGATAGAACCATGCCTAATCCCCACACAGTGTGAGCCACAACCCATAGATAGAACCATTCCTAATCCCCACACAGTGTGAGCCACAACCCATAGATAGAACCATTCCTAATCCCCACACAGTGTGAGCCACAACCCATAGATAGAACCATTGCTAATCCCCACACAGTGTGAGCCACAACCCATAGATAGAACCATTCCTAATCCCCACACAGTGTGAGCCACAACCCATAGATAGAACCATTCCTAATCCCCACACAGTGTGAGCCACAACCCATAGATATAACCGTTGCTAATCCCCACACAGTGTGAGCCACAACCCATAGATAGAACCATTCCTAATCCCCACACAGTGTGAGCCACAACCCATAGATAGAACCATTCCTAATCCCAACACAGTGTGAGCCACAACCCATCGATAGAACCATTCCTAATCCCCACACAGTGTGAGCCACAACCCATAGATAGAACCATTCCTAATCCCCACACAGTGTGAGCCACAACCCATAGATATAACCGTTGCTAATCCCCACACAGTGTAAGCCACAACCCATAGATAGAACCATTCCTAATCCCCACACAGTGTGAGCCACAACCCATAGATATAACCGTTGCTAATCCCCACACAGTGTGAGCCACAACCCATAGATAGAACCATGCCTAATCCCCACACGGTGTGAGCCACAACCCATAGACAGATCCATTCAGAGACTAGGATACACACTGTACCAGCAAACTTGTTTTGGGTCTCTACTACATTTCCCACAATAGTGCTTGTGTTAGGACTTGTTTTGCAATAGGAACTCCAGCACTCTGTGGTATATAAACCAGACTACAGTGCTGTGAAAAGGTATTTGCCCCCTTTGTAATTTTCTCTACTTTTGCATATTTTTGATACTGAATGTTATCAGATCTTCAACCAGAACCTAATATTAGATAAAGTGAACCTGAGTAAACGAATAACACAACAATTACATACTTATTTATTTTATTTCATGAACAAAGTTATGCAACACCCAATTCCCCTGTGTGAAAAAGTAATTGCCCCCTCTACACTCAATAACTGGTTGTGTCACCTTTAGCTGCAATGACTCCATCCAAATGCTTCCTGTAGCTGTTGATCAGTCTCTCATGTCGCTGTGGAGGAATTTTGGCCCACTCTTCCATGCAGAACTGCTTTAACCCAGCGACATTTGTGGGTTTTCAAGTATGAACTGCTCGTTTCAAGTTCTGCCACAACATCTCAATTGTGATTAGGTCTGGACTTTGACTAGGCCATTCCAAAACTTCAAATGTGTTGCTTTTTAACCATTTTCATGTAGACTTGATTGTGTGTTTTGGATCATTGTCTTGCTGCATGACCCAGCTGCACGTCAGCTTCAGCTCACAGATGGATGGTCTGACATTCTCCTGTAGAATCCTCTGACACAGAGCAGAATTCATGGTTCCTTCTATTAAGGCAAGTCCAGGTCCTGAGGCAGCAAAGCATCCCCAAACCATCACACTACCACCACCATGCTTGACCGTTGGTATGAGGTTCTTACTGTGGAATGCAGTGCTTGGTTTTTGCCAGACATAACGAGATCCATGTCGTCCAAAAAGTTATACTTTTGACTCATCTGTCCCTAGAACAGAGTCTTGATGATCATTCAGGTGCTTCCAGGCGCTTTTTGGCAAACTTGAGTCAACATTTTGGACGAGATGGGTACAAAACAGAGTGGGCCAAAATTCCTCCACAGCGACGTGAGATACTGATCAACAACTACAGGAAGTGTTTGGATGGAGTCATTGCAGCTTAAGGTGGCACAACCAGTTATTGAGTGTAAAGGGGGCAATTACTTTTTCACACAGGGGCATTGGGTGTTGCATAACTTTGTTCATGAAATAAAATAAATAAGTATGTAATTGTTGTGTTATACGTTCACTCAGGTTCCCTTTATCTAATATTAGGTTTTGGCTGAAGATCTGATAACATTCAGTATCAAAAATATGTAAAAGTAAAGAAAATCAGAAAGGGGGCAAATACTTTTTCACAGCTCTGTATATCAACCCATATAGTTCCATTGAGAGATATTATATGAACATTTTTACTTGGATTTCGCATAAGAACTCCTCCAACTCCTCGGTGCAACTCTCCACTTCATCCGATTGGTTGTCCGTCCAGTGGCACTCTTCTGATTGGTTGTCAGTACAGTGGCACTCATCGGATTGGTTGTTGGTCCAGCGCTGGCACTCAACGTCCTGTTGTTGGTCAAAATGGAAGGAGGCTGTAAGAGCAAAGCTCCTCTCCTCCATCATGGACAGCCCCAGGTCACTCACCCATCTGGTTGCGCAAATCAACTTATTCTGAGGTGACTGTGTCACTGGGACAGGCATAGGGACACGGACTGACTGAGACATGTCCCAAAACCTTCAGTAAAAGGTAGATTCTATTCAGTAAAAGGTAGATTCTATTCAGTAAAAGGTAGATTCTATTCAGTAAAAGGTAGATTCTATTCAGTAAAAGGTAGATTCTATTCAGTAAAAGGTAGATTCTGCCCAAATAAACTACGTAAGGGGACTGTGTCATTAGGACAGGACAGGCATGGACTTTACACATACCTTCATTTCGGCTTAGTAAAAGGTTGATTTTATTCTATTGATTCTACATTAAATACACTAGGCCTAAATCATAAAGAGGAGGAATACTCCACATTCTTATAATTACACATGCATACAGGCCAACTGTACTGTAGTCATACAGGCCAACTGTACTGTAGTCATAGAGGCTAACTGTACTGTAGTCATACAGGCTAACTGTACTGTAGTCATACAGGCCAACTGTACTGTAGTCATACAGGCCAACTGTACTGTAGTCATACAGGCTAACTGTACTGTAGTCATACAGGCTAACTGTACTGTAGTCATACAGGCCAACTGTACTGTAGTCATACAGGCCAACTGTACTGTAGTCATACAGGCTAACTGTACTGTAGTCATACAGGCCAACTGTACTGTAGTCATACAGGCCAACTGTACTGTAGTCATACAGGCTAACTGCACTGTAGTCATAGAGAAGATGGAAAGAGAAAGAAACAGACAGAGAGAGGAGGCTGCACATGACACATTTACACAGTAGAAACATGGACTCACCATTTGGTCAGTTCTTGGCTCCTCCTCAACAACAGTCAGAACAGTCTTTGCTATCCATTCCAGTTGTTGTGGTGGTCAACACATATGATCTTAACGACTTTAACTCTGTCCCAATGGTGAGCTCATCTGCAACAATACATTAGTGTACATGAGTTCCCTCTCTACATGTATTTCTATATACACTGAGTGTACAACACATTAAGAACACCTGCTCTTTCCATGACATACACTGACCAGGTGAATCCAGGTGAAAGCTATGCTCCCTTATTGATGTCACTTGTTAAATCCACTTCAATCAGTGTAGATGAAGGGGAGGAGACCAGTTAACCTTTTACTGCAGTGGGCTAAATCAGGGTCACACAGAGTTTTTCTTGGTAGTCTTAAACAAATCTACTTTGAAACAAAAGTATACACCTCACACACATGGTTATGGACTTACAAAAAATAAGACACCTGTACCATGTCAGATATGTAATGTAACAGTTGAAATGTATTCCATTTTGAGTTTGCATCCCAATAATACACTTTATGTACATCACAGAAGACTGAAATATAACAAAACTGTTTGACATAGAAACCCCAGATTTTCTGTGTTTATTTCATTTTGTAAAAAATTAATTATGAAATTATGAAAAATATTGATAACATTCCACCCATGAGGCCACTAGGTCATTTGACTGCAAGGAAGGGCTACAGAAGGATTTTTAAGCCGTGAGACAATTGAGACATAGATTGTGTACGTGTGCCATCCAGAGGATGAATGGGCAAGACAAAATATTGAATTGCCTTTGAACGGGGTACCCGGACAGCTGATGAAACTGAGGAGTATTTCTGTCTGTAATAAAGCCCTTTTGTGTGGGAAAACTAATTCTGATTGGCTGGGCCTGGATCCCCAGTCGGTGGGCCTATGCCCTCCCAGGCCCACCAATGGTTGCACCCCTGCCCAGTCATGTGAAATCAGTAGATTAGGGACTAATGAAATTATTTCAATTGACTGATTTCCTTATATGAACTGTAACTCATTAAAATCTTTGAAATTGTTGCTTGTTGCGTTTATATTTTTGTTTAGTATACACTATTTTGTTGGTTATTGAAAATATGTTTTAAAGCGGTTTAGATGGCACAATGATTCTTTATACTTGCTTGTTTTGTCACATAAACTGACATTTGGCGAACTATTAGAATTTTAGCAACCAGGAAATGGCTGGACGATTTCTGCATATTGCACCTTTAATATAGATCAGAATTCAAAAATCAGATTTTCAATATTAATTAATTATGCATTTTGACATGTCCCTCCGTGCACCCTGTGTGACTTCTAGTAAGATTTACCCCAAATCATACTCCAAGTTTTCACCATCATTGTAAAGCCCTAGTTATTTCGTTGCTTTGACAAAGTTAATTCTGAAGATTATTATTTATATGATGTGATTAGTGATTCACCCCTGTTACGTGAACTGAACTCTTATTTTAATATGGTAAAACTATTTATTTTATTCTATATTTCTTTCAAAAGAAACATTGAACATCTAATAGTCAATTCTGGAGTTTTGTGGAGGAAAACTGAGCGGGTCGAGCATAACACATCAACCCTTTGACCCATAGATAGACAGGCTAGATTTTTTGGACAATTTCATTTTTTTGGTGAATCTTGCATTCAATTGCCCCTCCCTGTTGCACATAACAAGCTTCCATTCCCCCTGTCACAACGGGATTCATGGCTGATTTAACTAGTAATTACAAGTTGGAGAGGCTTTCAAGTCGATTTTTCCCAGACGTGGTTAATGCCCACTTCCCACTTGGTTACGAATGCACCATAACATTGGTAACCATCCACTGTAGGGCCATATATTACCACTCATTGGAAGCACAAGTCTTAGACCTACACTTTGAATAAACGTGGAGCGTAATAATTTTGTTTAAATCGATACGAACTAAAATAAAACAATTATAAAAACAGCATAGTGCCTTGATCTCTGCATTATTTTTCAGTATTTAATTAAGTTGAAGAAAGGCACTTACTGTAGTGTATTTGCCTCTTGAGATCGGAAATCTTGTTTTTGTATGAAGTTGAACATGCGCTCTTTATGACAGAATGTAAAAATTAGGTGAAATCAAACTTTTACTCACCATCACAATTACAATTATATCACTGGCAAAGTTTTGGCTTTGTGGCCAAAAACAATTTCTCCACTGATCAATACTAAAGAGTAATTTAAGAAGCCGAATTAGGAACCACTTTGGCCACCCTGTAGACGAGATGTCATAGCGATGCATTTCTGGAATATTGTCAGGCATTACATGGATTTTTAGCAATGATGAAAATGTATCTAAATGTATTTGAAATAGATTTTACGTGACGTTTTTTTCCCCGTACGGGATACCTTGGCTTAGTTCAACAAGTCACCATATTACCACCGCCTGTTGACTCTGCTATGGCTCTAATGTACTTCTCATGTATACAAACAGGAGGATGTGATCAACTCCTTGTGGCGGGCCGGGTGCCTGCAGGCTGACCCTAGTCGCCAGTTGAACGGTGTTTCCTCTGACACATTGGGTACAGCTGGCTTCCGTGTTAAACTGGCGGGTATTAAGGAGCTAGGTTAGATGGAGGACGCATGACTCCACCTTCGTCTCTCCCGAGCCCGTTGCGGAGTTACAGCGATGAGACAAGATCTGAATTGGGGGTAAAATACCAACAACAAAAAAAAAAGGCCAGGAGGAAAGATAAACAGTCTACTGTCACTGTGGTGCACTTAAGGCATTATTGCTTTTATACAACAGGTTACCAACATATTCAAATAATGATTGACATATTTTCATAAAAAACGTTATTTTGATTAATTTATTCCTTGGTTTTAACCAATCAGCATTCAGGATTAGACCCACCCATTGTATAAATAACAATAATTCCATGCTTACCTTTTCCACAAGAGGAGAACTAGCAGTCCAATGGGTTAATATATAAAAATACGCTGGAACTCCAATATAAACAAGAAAACAAAGAGAAAAAAAGAAATATGATAAAAAGGACAAAAATAAAAGGCAAAGAAAAGTAATATGAACAGGATCCAATCAAAAGGAGTAACCCTTAAAACGTTTGTAAAGGCATCTGTTCCATTGTTCATAGGAAACAGGGTCCAGTCCAGTGTGGAGCGACTGTCGGCGTGCAGTAATCCAGGTAATCCACAATAAACTGTGTCTGTGTCTCCCAATGGTAATGCAAAAGGTCTGTGGGTGTCTGTCTGTCTGTCTGCCTGCCTGCCTGCCTGCCTGCCTGCCTGCCTGCCTGCCTGCCTGCCTGTCTGTGTCAGCTGTAGGTCCTGTAGGAGGCTGATCACATTAACCTGATCCAAGGAGAGAGGAGAGGAGAGGAGAGGAGAGGAGAGGAGAGGAGAGGAGAGGAGAGGAGAGGAGAGGAGAGGAGAGGAGAGGAGAGGAGAGGAGAGGAGAGGAGAGGAGAGGAGAGGAGAGGAGAGGAGAGGAGAGGAGAGGAGAGGAGAGGAGAGGAGAGGAGAGGAGAGGAGAGGAGAGGAGATGGTTATTAGGGAGATTGCGGTATCAAGAGAAAATAGATGTAAGAACATCAAAACACTTTGGGGCTCTCTGTCTATGTTATTCAAGTAAAGTCATTGTTAGTTCATTGTACAGGTCTAAGGTTAGGCTAGAAGATAATTTCAACACATACCTTCAATTTTGTTCAACGTTATTTTGATGTGCCATGTCGGAGACATTCGTGTACTATAAATAATTTACAGAATGAGATGGGGAGGGGTAGTCTGGTAGCCTGTAGCCTGGTCCCAGATCTGTTTGTGCTGTCTTGCCAACCAACTCCTATGGCAATTGCCACGCCTACCTGGGACCAAGCTAGAGAAGCTGTGGGGGGAGGGGGACAATACATGAATAGACACTGACCAGTTGCTAAGACAGCACAAACAGATCTGGGAGCAGGCTAGGGCAGCTACAGTGTGGTGGGGAAGGGCGTGACGAGACAGAGACAGATGCAGCCTCCAGTCTTAGTCTCTAGAGCTGATTAGTACTGTATCATGCTAATCTCAAAGGGCTGGCCACTGTTACAGGAGACATCACACAGTCAACTCAAAATAACATACAGAAATTACATGGCGTGCAGGGAAGCTAAAGTAATTCCACTGCCTAATAGTGAAGCACCATTTTGCTGGCTCTAACAGCCACCCAATCAGTTTGCTGCCTGTTCTTAGTAAACTGATGGAGAGGATTGTGTTTGACCAAATACAACGCTATATTTC